GTTCCCCAGGCGCGGCCGGACCCCCCCGCCATCCGCACGGCGGCTCTGGAGCAGGGGGCAGAGGGAAGCCGTGCGGGACGAGGGCAGTGACGAGGCTCTCGGTGTCCACTGCGGGACCGGCAAGCGCCCAGCCCAGGGCAGGGGCCGGCTGCTCTCCCTTCCCTTCTCCCGTTCTGTATAAATCTCTTCAGAGAAACAATTCCCAAGGCAGTTTCCGTGCCTATGCCCTGCTGTGGGTTTCTTCCTGCTCTTCTGTTCATGCTCGGGGCAGGCAAAGCATCTCTGAGCCCCTTTCCGTGCCATTATTTACATGGTAACACATCGGACAGAGCACCACTCGCTCCGAGACCTTCAGTGAAACCTCACAGCCAGGACAAGGGGGTGCCTGGCTCCCCAGGCGCCTGATGCCCGTCAGTCACTGGGTTCCCTGAACGAGGCCATAATTTCTGGCTGAGCTAGAAAGTGCCTTTTAGCACTCAGACTTGATTTAAGGGCTTGCCGTGATGGCGAATTCATCACCTCCCCAGGGAAGCTGTTCCAGTGGTTAATCAACTCCACGGCTAGAAGCGTGTGCCTCCTTTCTAGTCTGAACGTGCCCAGCTTTGTTTTCAGCTCCTGGTTCTTGCCCTGCCATGGAGTTCAGGAAAGTTCCCCTTTTTAAAGGTGTTTCTTGGAGAGAAAAAAACCCTTTTTGCTGCAGCAATGACAAACGGCTCTCAAAGGCCCTGAGCTCCCTGGCAGTTGGCGTTCTGTGCCTTGTTCCTGCCCTGGGACCTGCCGGTGAGGGTGGCTGGCCGGGGCGGAGCAGCAGGCTCCAGGCTGCCAAGCGCTGCAGACCCTGTTTACTGCAAGGAACAGCCAGACCTCTGGGGCATAAAGCTTGATGAGCAGGAAAAGCACAAGTCTGCACAAAAGTTACTCTCTGAGCCCCTTCTCTCTGCCGATCCCAGCGCGGGATTGGATCGGCACGGCCAGCGCAGAGCCGCCGAGGAGGCGCCGGGTAAGCCAGAAGGGCCGGTCCCCAGCGGGGACGCAGCTGGACCACGCACGGGGAAGGAGCCAGAACCGCAGCCTTCCCCCTCCACACCCTTACTGCCCCTGGCAGCCAGCAGCAGCTCCTCCGAAGCCCGTGCTCGGAAAGGCTCTGGAGCCACGTGGTTCTGGTATCACTCTGCAAACCCTTACAGTAAGCGCTTGGCCGGATGCTTTTTGTCAATGTCTCCCTCAGAAAGGGGAAAGAAATGGGGATTTTGGTTGCCCTTTAAAGAAATAACTGAAAAGCATCTGAGCACTGGGCTAACGAGGCCTTTTGCCTCCTACTTCTCTGCCTTTGCTCCTGCTGATCAGGTGTGGTTAAACCTCAAATATTTGCTCAAGACCTTGGCAAGTTTTTCAGCATCAAGGAGTGGCAAAAGTGCCACAAACCCGGAGGCTGGCTGTCACGCTAGCTGAGAGGCTCTCCCCTTCTCCAGGAACAAGTACCAGAGGGAGTCAGTGACTCTCATGACTGTGTCTCCTATTGCTACAGCATCTGCTATGTTAAAAGCTCTCCTCGAGGTTTCTGCTAGACAAGAACAAGCCCCTCTCGCAGACTCTGGGCTCCGCCACTCTCCTGCCAGCCCTCGCATCAAGTGACCATGCAGGGACCCTACACTGTAGGGGGGTGGAAATTATTCCGAAAGTGCAGTGGGGCACGGCACAGGCCTCCCCTGCGCGGCCGAGGGGAGGAAAGGGAGGCAGGAGCCCAGCGGGAGCGTCTCCCCGGCCGGTGTGAGGTGGGAACACACAGGTCGCCCGGCTGGAGCAGGAGGAGGTGGGCGAAGAGGGACGCTGCGCGGCAGCAGGAAGTAAAAAAGAGGAGCCGTCAAAAGAAAATGAAAGCTGAAGTGAGGCTTTTCCCACTGAATTCAGGGCCAGGCTTCCAGATGTTCAGCTCTGGAGCCAGCTTTTCAAAACCGCTAGCACGCTACCTGCTGAGCTGCTGGGGACTCCCGCCCTCGGGAGATGCCTGAGGGAGCCGCATCCGAGCGCCTCCAAACCCAGCCTGAGCAGCCAAGAGCTGAACTTGCCCTTCGTACTTATCTGCCAGGCCACCCCGGCCACCCCAGGGGGAGCGGGGATGCCGCCTGCCCCAGCGTCGCCCAAGCCCCGCGGGTGCTCGCACCGCCCCGGCCCCTGCGCTCCCCGACTCCGGCTGAGCTGCTTCCCCGCTCGAGCACCGGGACCCTCACGCCCACCAGGGCTGCGGTTCCGTGCACTTGCAGACACGCACCTCGTCCTCCTCCAACCTCAGATGTCTGCTGAGGGCTCGGGGAGAACAGGATTTTTTTCATGCCTTTAACATCCTCTGCTTTGACCTTCCTCTGGAAAGAGGCCCAGGGACAGATTTTCAAGGTATTTCCGTGTCTGAAGACAGGGATAGGCAATGAGCCTTTTCAGAAGCCGTCAGACCGTATCTTTAGGCACCTGAACACATCACAGCTCTGTCCTCCAGCGCGCCAGAACGCTTGCAGCAGTGTGCAACACACCGTCTGCTGGTGCTACCCTGCGCACTGCGTGTCGAGCAGCTCAGACACTGCAGAAGAGCCACAGGCAAGAGGGCTTGGACCAGAGGCAGCACACGCAGCAGAGCTTCGGCTTGCAGGGATGACAGAGGAGTGTTGCAAAAGGGTTCACGTGAGGCACCCAGGCAGGAGAGCAGAAAGAGGGGGTTGGTATGTGCTGCTGATGTTGTGCCTTGGGCATGCCAGCTATGCTGCTGGAGGAGTGCACAAGCCCTGGAAAAAGAATTTCCCTGGCAAAATGATTGGGAACATTTAAACAGGATGGTTGTGTAACGATCAGTACCTTAGCCCAGGGCTTTGGAAACCTGGCTTCAAATCCTTGTGCTTCCACAGGTCAAGTATGACCCTGGGAAAGGCTCCACTGCCCTTTGGTAGGACTGGGGCTCTGCTGCGAGGGTAAGCACGGTCCAGGCATCGCATCCAGAGGTCAGTGCCTGTCCCTGGTCACTGATGGTAATGACTCGGATTAGGGGTGTTCTGAGAGCTACAAGCCCCATTTCTAATGTTTTCTCCAAAGACAGGGAAACAAACATCGGGCTGAATTAAAGGCTGTTCTCCCTGTTTTCCTTTGGCTCCTGTTGAGCTGGCTGGACACAAGAAGTGATTAGACTGGGGCCACCTAAGCACTCGAGTTAGGCAGAGAGCCTGGATACACAATCTGTTCTCCTGCTCCTTTGCATGAAGCCCTGATGTCCGCAGACATATCCCACACTGATCCCACTGGGGGGGGGGGGGGTC